TTTCAATATCCAATTCTATCAACCTACCAATCTCATATAAACACCTTAGGTTGAAAATAAACTTAATTAGGGAGAAAACTCTACCCCTTGAAGCGTAAAACGACGTTGAAAAGCTTCAAAAACTCGATTCAAGTTAGAATCTTCACTTTCTCCAATTCTGTTTCTTGAACTTCGGTGAAAACCCTCTTTTTTGGTATAGTCGCATAACCCACGACGAGGAGGTCGACTTTTATTATTGGCTCGGGTTGATTTGAGTGACGGGGAGATGTAGATCGTATAGAGAAGTTGGATTTTCTTTCTTCTCTTTAACGTTAAAACCTAGCGTATGAATAGAGGAGAAATCTAATTTTCTCTTTTATTTATATTCCTAGAATACTTGGCCAACGCCACATGACCTCCTTTCTTGGGTCCGTTTTTGCTCCAAAAATAATTAAATTTTAGCTTGGTTCAAGTTTGAAATATTTTTTCTATGAACCTTCTTTTAATTATTTTCCAACCTCCAAAATTTTATTCAAGAATTCATTTTTGGGTCATTCGAGGTCCGATCACCTCGTAAAACGTGAAAAATCAACTATTTCATAATTCAACAAAATTTGAAAAAGACAACTAGATTTCGCGAGACAAATCTAACAGTGAGATCCGTTTTGTTATCCGAACTCTAAAAAAAATTAGGTTTACGACTCTTATAATAGTGACAAATTACCATTTTATCTCTTTTCATAAAAAATTAAAATTTAGTCGGGTTTTACAAGAGAAGATCAAATGAAAAACATAAAAAAAAGTGAACATAAAAATAGTGACAACGAGTGATAATGGTAACAGTTGATGGTAGTGACAATCAATGACAGAGGGTAGTTGTTGGGAGTGATGGTGAATGATAATGGTGAGAGGTGGCGAAAGGTGGTAGTAGATTGGAGGCCAAAAGTTGTAAGTTATGATGGCGACGACAACAATTGGTGGATGGTTATAATGGGTGCATGTAGTGTTAGCAAGAGGTGGTGGTGATCACTAGTGACTGGGCAGATTCCGAGTTTATTTTGAGCGAGGACAATCATAAAGTTGAGGAGAATCATTGAAGAACAATCATTAAATTTTATTGTGTCTTATAAATATGAGTGTTTTGCCATTTACACTGTATACAATAATTCTTCATGGAAATTTTTTACTTTACTGCTTTAAAAGTTTTTCCATTTAAAAAGATATAACCTAATTTAAAAAATTATTTTATAGAAAATACTTATATTAGAATAATTTTCATAAAAAAAATTATTTTGACAAATCATTTTGTAAACAAACTACAAATACACTTGTCAACCATCAAATTTTGAGTGATTCAAATCCAATTTTGATTTGAAATCTCCATTTTGAATATGATATGATTATTCATCAATTTCTTATTTACAATTCATATCTATTAAATATTAAAAATTTGATCGAAAACTAAATCTTATATATATACATGTGCATGCGTGTGTTTGTGAATCATTTATGATTCACAATTAAGTCAAATTTTGGTATATTTAAATCTAAATTCTTAAAATATAATAATCTATTCGAACTTGAATAATCAATTAAACATACCCATATATAGATAATCGAATTTAAAGGAGGATGAGTTTGGTAACCTAATGTGTCATTGTGGAAATAAGAGAAATAGCTAGAAAGAAAAATAGAATTGTGAAATTAAGTCTTACACAATTTTTTAAAAAATCAGTGGGGACATGTATTGAATTTTTTTTAATTCTATTGTAATTTTAAACTAGTCCTAAAAATTTTCAAAATCTCAATGGAGAAAATTGCCCTGCCTCCATTTTCCCTCCACCCTTGACAAGTGTTAACATGGTGGTGATGGTGACAACAACAATTGGGGGAGGTGATAATGATTATGAAAAATGGTGTGACGGATGGTCGTCAGGGTGGTGGTGGCGAATAATAATAGTGGGTGGCGACAACAGGTGAGAGTACTTATAACGGCAATGGAAGTAACAACATTTGTTTGACAGATGGTTATGGTGGTACCAATAATGGCAACATAGTATTGGCAGATGGAGAGCGGTGCAGTGGCAACAACAAAGGAGGTGGAGAGAAAAACCAAAATAACATCAAAATGTTATTAAATACATTGTTATTTTTAGTTTTTTAAAAATATAAAATAAACAGTTACCAAATGAGGCATTAAAATGGAGCGCGTTATTACATTGTATTTGAACAGGATATAAAATATGACAATTTTAATCAAGGTTAGATTAAAAATACATTTTTTTCCCAGGGTGCTAATTAAGTATCATTTAGGCTAATAAGACGTGGGCTACAAGCTACCCAACTGCAAGAGAAATAGACTTCCAAATTCAAAAAAGGTGCGACTCTCTCTCATCACACGAACCGAGTTCACTCAACCTATATAAATCATCCCAATTACAGTCTCAGCCTCTTAGTAGTTCTCTATCGCCCCAAATTTCCTCTTCGTCTTCCCAAATTCCCTAACTATCGCTCACGTTTCTCTCCGTCTTTCTCTTTCTTGCTGGAAAACCCTACCTTCAGTCACTCATTCGCGATGCTGCCTTTTTCTTCGATCGCTTCCGCTCAGATTCGATATCTGCTCCAGAGCTTGAATGAGTACAACTCCGACTCTGTTCTTGAAGAGCTTTTTCAGGTGTAGTTCTTTCTCTGCCTCTCTGAATTTCTCTCTCTCTCTCTCTCTCTCTCTCTATAAATACACATACATATATCTTTACGTACATACGTGTGAACTATGTTGTATGGACAAAGCTATGCATTATAAAATAATCATGAATCATGATCAGTCTTGGTTTCTCAATATAGTTTTATGGAGATTAGCATTGAGTTGTGATGAACTAGTAGATTTTTCTTATTTTTTGTGTAGTCTTGAGTGTGGTAATTCTTTGTTGTTTTAGGTTCTCTGTTTTATCAGTTTTGGTTTCTTATTATTTTCTATGGAGATTAACCCTGATTTTTGATGAATTGGTAGAATTAGCTCTTTCAGGTATAATTCTCTCTCTCTCTCTCTCTCTCACACACACACACACACACATTTGTTTATTTCTTTCTTTCTTTACATACGTTTACACGTATGTTGTATGGACAAAGATATGCATTATAAAATAATCAAGATTAGTCTTGGTTTCTCAATATCTTTTTGTGGAGATTAGCATTGATTTGTGATGAATTAGTATAATTTTCTTATTTTTTGTGTAGTCTTGAGTGTGATAATTCTTGCTTGTTTTAGGTTATTTGTTTTATCAGTTTCGGTTTCTCATTATTTTTTTTATGGAGATTAGCCCTGATTTGTGATGAATTGGTAGAATTAGCTCTTACAGGTATAGTTCTCTCTCTCATTTATTTATTTCTTGTATGGACAAAGATATGCATTATCAAATAATCATGACCAGTCTTGGTTTCTCAATATCTTTCATGGAGATTAGCATTGATTTGTGAGGAATTATTAGAATTTTCTTATTTTTGTTTAGTATTGAATGTGGTAATTCTTGCTTGTTTTAGGTTCTCTGTTTTATCAGTTTCGGTTTCTCATTATTTTTTATGGAGATTAACCCTGATTTGTGATGAATTGGTAGAATTTACTTATTTTTTGTGTAGTTGCGAAGCTGTTAATTCTTGCTTGTTTTAGGTTTTTTTTTTTTTAAAAGGGAGGGAGTCGTTTTCATCTTTGTTTTAAATTTTTAATTATTTGAAAGCAGTTGTTTTAGGTTGATTGCTTGAACCTCAAAATTACTTGGAGCAATGAATGTCAAATGAGGTTGAAATTTGGGCTGAGTTTGTCTGTTTCAGAATAATTGAAGTTTTTCTGAAGAACATCAAATTGGATGCTACATAAAAACAAGTCTGACAGGATTTGTGACTCCATTTGTTTGATTAAGGGTATAACAAGTGAGCATAGCTGCAGGGGCTTTTTTTGTTGTCTGAGCTGTGTGCTGAATCCAGCTATTCAGGAATATCTATTTTAATGGTAGTATGGCGCAAAAGAAATCTGTAAACTGAGCAGCACACATGTTTAACTTGGCTTGTGCTGTAAATTCAGGACTGTATCTGTTTATTCTTATCTGATCTCCATTTGTTGGACTTTTTATGGAGGTCAGTCACTTATGTGAAAGTTAAAGGACATCCAGAGTTTACACTTTGAGCAATTGTCCCATGGGAAATTTTGGAACACTGTGATGCCGGGGAATTATTTTTTATTGTCAAATTTTATTTTTTTTGATAATAGACTGTGTAATTGCAAACTTGTCCTGTGAGGCAATTAAATGAGAAAGGCCATCTATAATTAGGCAATAGTTTATTATTGTGAAAGATACAGCTACTGTTGGAGTTGCTAACCTGTCTGTTTTACATCCTATCAAATTGATTATAGAACTAGAAGCGTGTAGTCATTTAAGTTCAGAGGTTTGGTTTTGCTAGTGAATTGAGTGATACACATGTTTAATTCCAGATGAAATCATTTGACTTCTCATTTGTATTACTTATTCTGGATGTCAGTGATTTAAGTTAATGGATGTTGGGAAGCAAGAACTGAAGAGGGGAATTGTCTCAATTGAAAAATTGGAAATAGTGCTTACTACAAGTAACTGCCCCTTATTAACTTTCCTTTCTTTCTAAAATAGCAGACAATCCAGTTTTCTTGAATGCTGAAGCTAACATTTCTGTTTTTGCTAGGAAAAAGTCTATATAACTGTATACCGGTCTAGGATTGAGGCACTTAGTGGAACTGGCCAACTGTTATCTTACCAGCTTAAGGTGTTAGGTTATTTAGTAAAAAAATTATCTTTTTGAAAGATCGTCGGATTTTATAAAAAAAGAAACATTTGTTGAATATGTTGCTGAAGTGCAAACCTGTTAGTTTTACATTTCATTGAATTGAATATCTTTGCTTAAACAATAAGCATGGTCGGTATTGCTCTTTCCGTAGGAGGATTCTACTTGGTAACTGTTGCAAGAGGCAATTAAGGCGAAGACATGTGAACGAAAAATAAAACATAATAACATCACCCAGCAGAACGAAAAACTAAAATAGAAAAAGCTGGTAGTGCATTTGGTTTTTAGGGCACTCAAGAGGAGACTAAGGAGAGAAGGTTTTGTGGAGTTATAAGATAGAATATGCGTCTGCTTTTTTATGTATCTGTACATAAAGCTATGTATTCACGTTTTTGTGTGTATGTTTGATGTATTCTTTCCGTCTTAACATTTTTTTTTTGTGTGTTTCTATCTTTCTCTATTTCTTCTTCCTTTTTGTTTAATCTTTGTTTTTTCCCTCAAAAAACTGATATAATATACATAACTTCTCCCATATTGGTGTGTCTTGTATACTGCCTGGTCCTGAATCAGAGAAAGGGAAAGGGAAAGGGAAAGGGAAAGGGAAAGGGAAAGGATTGCGTTAGATAGACAGGAATCATAAAACCTGATTGAACTTCACCTCTTGTTGATAAGCAATAATATTATTTAATCCTTATGTTCATGGATGTATTGAGATTTACCCTTTAAACTATGTACTGAGAAGTATTAAGACACGTCCTATATATTTGGATAAAGCTTTTATGTACTGAGTTGAGCTAAGCCCATTGTGTGCTGCAACTCCCTTTTAGCTGATATGTGCTTCTGTTTGGCAGTATATCAGATATGGAGTTGAGGGAAGCATATTGTTGCTCCAAACATGCTTGGATCACCTGAATATTTATGGGAAAGACTTAAAGAACATGCAGATGGAACCCGTTTTTACTTCAATTGTTAAATTCCTCTTCGATAAGCCGAATTTCAGTACAGTGCTTTGTGAGTCACTGAAAAGTACAGCTATTGATGAAGATTTTCTTGGAAATTTCTGTAATGCGCTATGCTTGTCAGCATCTGAGAAAGTTGGAGTTGGTCTTGCTTTGTCAGATTCAGAAAGACTTGATGTGCGATTATGTGGTTAGCCTTTCCTCTCTTTTCCTATTAGGCATAGAGCATTGAATCAGCATAGGATTCTCAGAATTGTTTCCTGCTGAATATTGTATGTATTACTTTTCAATTGGTACTTACCTGTTGGTTGGTTTGCAGGGAAAAACTTCTGCATGGCTCAGATTGGGGAACTATGTGACAGCCATGTGTCTATAGATTCTGCTGAGCAAATTCAGAATGTTCTTATATTTCTTAATCGATCTGAGGGTCTATCCAAGCATGTAGATTCATTTATGCAGATGGTATCTTTAGTGCAGTTGAAGGAAGGAACTGAATTTATTTTGGCTCCATTGCTGTCGAATGAATTGCATGAAGCCAACTTCTTGAGGTAGTTCTTTTCAATTTTTGTTGAATTGGCTTGCAATTAATTTCATTTTATGGTTTTGATCCAATCAGGTATCTCCTTTGCTTGCTGTAGGAATTTGGATATTTACAATGATGTCAATGAAGATGATTTTGACGCTCTTCTAGCAGAAATGGAGAAGGAAATGAGCATGGCTGACATAATGAAGGAATTAGGTTATGGATGCACGGTGGATGTCTCACAGTGCGAGGGGATGTTATCTATTTTCTTACCGCTGACTGAGGTCACTGTCGCTCGGATCCTTGGCACAATTGCTTGCACCCATATGAGTCTTGAGGACAACCATAATACATTCTTGACATTCTGTTCTGCTCTTGGTAGCAGCAGCTTATCAGATCTGCCACTTCTGAATTCCTGGAATATCGAGGTCCTGATAGATTCAATCATGCTGCTTGTGAGTTCTGTGTACCATCTTTCTTTATCTACTTTTTAGTGACCCTGGCGATAGCAACTTGGTAAAGTGCTTTGCTTGTTTCGATGGTGTATCCTGAGTTACAGGCTTCTGGGATCAACTGGATAAATGTCATTGAGAATCTGGATCATGAGGGATTCTATGTCCCTAACGAGGCTGCATTTTTCTTTCTCATGTCTGTTTATAGATATGTGTGCCAGGTATGCCTGTATAAATCTCAAATTAAATATCTCAGGTATGACATATGGTTGTAGAATGGTAATCTGAATCATTTTAACCGAGATTGCAGGATGCATTTCCACTCCATGCCGTCTGTGGTTCTGTTTGGAAGAATTCTGAAGGCCAGCTATCTTTTCTTAAGTATGCTGTTTCAGTACCACCTGAAGTATTCACATTTGCACATTCTGGGAGGCAACTGGTATGGTGCTTTTAATAACCAGTTGTTTTTAATGACACGTGTTGTCTCTCAATTGTCTGAATAGCCAGTTCATTCTTGCAGGCATATATTGATGCTGTAAATGGTCATAAGTTTCAGCTAGGACATGCAAATCATGCATGGTTATGTCTTGACCTATTGGAGGTGTTGTGTCAGCTAGCTGAGAGAGGCCATGCAAGTTCTGTTCGAGCATTGCTCGAGTATCCACTTAAGTACTGTCCTGAAATATTGCTTCTTGGGATGGCCCACATTAATGTACTTTTCTCTCATTTTTAATGCATAATTATTTACTCTATTTTCTTTTCCAAATACAACTGTTTTGTTTATAATATTGCTACTATATTTGCAGACTGCATATAATCTCATTCAATATGAAGTGTCTTCTGCTGTCTTCTCCATAGTACTTAAGAATGCTTCGGGGAATGGTATGGTTCTTCATCTCTGGCATGTTAACCCCAATATCTTGTTGCGGGGATTCATAGATGCTGTCAACATCGATCCGGAAAATATGAATAAAGTTGTTGATGTATCCCAGGAGCTGAAGGTTAGAACTTCTACAGATGTTGTTTATGGTGATTGTCTGCTCCCTAGAGTTGACATTTTCTTCTTTAATTTTTGGTTGATGTTATGATCTAACATAATATGTGACATGATATCCAGTGCACCAGCAAAAAGCCTAACACCTAAAGCTAACCATATATAGTTTGATCAATGCTTCATTTTTATTGGTTTTTGTGATGTGGTTTGTGATTCATCATTTCTGGATGTCTTAGGATGCTTTATTTATTTGATATTGACCGTTGGAGCAGTATCCTTTCTGTTCGTTGATTGCCGTTTTCTTATGTGATGAGAGTATTATCCCACTTAAAAGTATGTTTTCATGAGTTGCACATATATTTTTAATTGTGAACTGGGTACAGGATGAGAACGTCTTTGTGAGATTTCATTGTGACTTTTCAGTTCAACAGCTAATCGGACATTTCTATGCGTTTGAAGGATGGCACTATCCCAAGTTGATTGTTGCATTATACTCCCTAATTTCTTTGCAACTGAGAATGAATAATATGCATGTCGCATATGAAACTTGTTTCTCTCCTAAAATATGCTATTATGATCGTCTGTTTTGAGTTCCTTTTTGTGTTTTCAGGCATGGTTATCCAATTAATATGTTTCTGCTCAGTTTGTTGGGATGTTCACTCCATTCATTGGATTTATATATCTCCTTATATGACAGATTCTATCACCGGCATTGGATATGGTTCCTTTTTCTTTTGGTATTAGGCTTGCTGCCCTTGCTTCTCAAAAAGATCTCTTAGACTTGGAGAAGTGGCTGAGCACTAATTTGAGTACATATAAAGATATTTTCTTCGAGGTACATGATAATGATGGAACCTCCTTGTCTTTTTCCTTTTAAACCTTGTCAAGCAGTTAGAAGCTGAGTTTGCTACCGATTAAAGAAAGTTCCCATCGAAATGTGAACTCGGTTTACTGGATGTAGAGTCAAGAATTTCCATCAATTTCTACAGCTTATTATTACTATTCTTCCCATTGAGAAAGTGGTAAGAGATTCAGTCTCAGATTTACACGTTGTTGGTTCCAGGAGTGCCTCAACTTTTTAAAGGAGGTTCAATATGGTATTCAGGATGTTTCTGCTAACCACTTCAGTCAGACTGGTGCTCTCTGGAATATTTATTACGAGACAAGTTCTACCTTCTTAAAGGTTCTGCACAACTTGGTATTTCTAAATGCATTTTTGTTTTCAATCTAATGGAGCTTAACAATCTGCATACTTGTTTTCTAGGTCCTTCAAGCTCATAGAGGCTTTGTTTCCTCTAGCCAGCTTTCTAAGGAAATGGAGAAGTTGCATGTAACATTTATGCACGCTAATTTGAGACTGAAGAATGGTGCCGGTACTGGTTCATCAACTGCCGATGGATGTGCAGATGATATTGAGGTAGTAGTAAATTCTTACTTCCATCAAATGTTCTCTGGTCAGCTGGCCATCAACGCAATGATTGAAATGCTTGTGCGGTTCAAGGAATCTTCAGAGAAAAGGTTTTTTTGTAAATCTCTCTCTTTCTCCACCGTCAATTTGAGTGCTTATTCCCCCTCCCTCCTTTCCCTTCTTTTTGTATGAAGAGCTTTTTGATTTCAATAGCTTAGTCTACACCTGAGCTGTTTTGCAGAGTTCTTGTTATATAATGATGCAATGAAAGTTCAAGTATCTGGAAATTTTGTTAACTAAGTATGCTTGTCCACACCAAATGAGATAGGAATTCTCAATAATCGCATTTTTTGATGGTTAATATTGTTCCTTGCTCCATATTTTTAGAGTATCCTTGGACGCTCTGCGAACTTGACTGGCTTCATTGATATTTTACTTGCATTTGAGGGGATTGTCATCTTGAATGGTATCATTACGAAAAAACTAGAGTCATCCTAGAAGTGATGTTTAAAGTTCTGAATGCAGTTATTTCTAGAGAACCCGAAAATAATAACATATGAGGAATATGTTTGTATATTCTTCAATGGTCTCATTTTAGTCGTGAACATTACATTTGGAGAGCATGAAGGTCACTAGATTGCCTTTTTGAGCCCCAAGTAATTAAAGGGATTTCTTGTTCCCTGTTCAGCATTCACTGTCCTTGGCTACTTGACCCTTAGTGTAGTATCATTTTCATTCTACATGCATGATATCTTGTAGGTGCAGAGTCAACTGTTATATTTCTTGGTTCCCTTTCTTTTGTATATTCTAAGTCATTGGAAAATTCTTAAAAATTAAAGCACCAAAAACAAAGGCACAACCCATGTGCCCTGATCTATGCAAAAGGGCCAACAATAACTATGTACACTAACTCAACAAAAAATTTCTCAATAATTATATGAAAGAATTTAAATGCATGAGATACAACTTCATTAAGGCAAAGAAAAGAAGATTCAACATATAAAATTTGTGATTTTGACGAATATCATTGGAATATTAAATGCTTTATTTTTTTTACAAAATGTTTGCAGTTATGTTGTGTTAGATTTTTTGGACTTTTGGTCTGTTAATCTATTGTTTTCCTAGTTGAATGACGTCCACTGTGGGACCAATTTTGGGTAAGTGGCCTGATGCCGCCGTGTAAAGAGCCTTCAGCATAGTATCACTATTAGTGAGATTTTGTTCTGTGACTGTCATACAACTGACATTATATTGCTATTCGTATTCGGTTGTGACTGTTGTTTGAACCAACAGGGAACAATCAATTTTTGAGTGCATGATTGCCAACCTATTTGAGGAATACAATTTCTTTTCCAAGTACCCAGAAAGGCAGCTCAAAATTGCTGCAGTTCTCTTTGGTGAGTTTCTGTAAAAATTACATTTTATAATCCTAATTAGTAGCAATTTTCTTTTTCAAATATCCTTCATTTTTTGTAGTTCTTTTGAGCTTGAGATTATAAGCTACTCAGGCATAGTCCAGTTGTTGTTTCAATCTTATATGTTCATGCTGAACGCTTCGTTGTCAGGTTATTTGCACAATCTTTATTTAGTTTTTGTAGTGTAGACAGATATTCTGTTCCTGGTTGCCTTGTATACGGATGAGTGAATCTGAACAATTATTATTGGTTACTTCCTCTATTGTGCTGCTGTTATGTTGCGTGGAAGGAATGGCGGCTTTGTACTTTTGTCCCTATTGAGTCTATGGTCAACCTTGTGTCTTTTTTATTTTTATCTCTGCACTAGTTTTCACGCCTAGAGTCTAAATTCCTAGCAGTCTTTTTCAGGTCTATTTTTTCTCTGAAACATTCTGGGAACAAATTCCTGACCAAACAAACTGTGATTGTTTATGTTCACGTGTATCCCTCCACCTAAAACTTGACGCTTTATGTAATTTTGTCGCCATTTTATTCATTTTCATCTCGTCTTGAGCAAAGAAATGCCTTCTCTTTCTCTATACGTATTGGGCTTATTAGCTGCTTGAGCATGCTGCATAATTGGTTTGACCCTCCCCTCTGGCCAACCCACAGTTAGTTTCCTGGGGAGACAGGTCACATGGTTGCATCTATTGTTTTCTTGGTTGATTTTTGTGTATATGCAAGTGTATTTATGCCATGTTTTGAACTTTGATGGTAGGTTCCCTTATTAAGCATCAGCTTGTAAATCATCTCACACTTGGGATTGCCTTGCGAGCTGTTTTGGATGCATTGCGTAAACCTGCAGATTCAAAGGTTTATATATTCTCGTGAGGGTGTATTTTCCATTATTGACCTGTTTTTTGATGTCACTGATCCAAGTTTGTGTGTAGATGTTTGCTTTTGGGACAAAGGCTCTGGAACAGTTTGTGGATCGCCTGATTGAGTGGCCACAGTACTGCAATCATATCTTGCAAATATCTCATCTGCGTGGCACTCATTCAGAGCTTGTTGCACTCATTGAAAGGGCACTTGCTAGGATTTCTTCAGGATATTCAGAATCAGATTTAGGTCATACTGCTGTTGCTGATCAACATCATGGTTCTGTCCTGGCTGCTGTGGCAAATGTGGAGGTGAGTAATGAAATTTGGTTTCCTAATCCCTGCTGTGCGTTTCAAACTCTACCCGACAATGTGGAGAACTGGATTTGAAGATCTCATGAAAATTTTGAATCTGATAAAATTTTGCCAAGCTAATTTTTTTTGGGGTTAAATTAAATGCACATCCCATGAGGTTTGTCCAAATAAAAATCAGACCCTCTCAACACGTCAATGACATCTGTTTCATCGTCAATCAGGAAAACTAAATGATTGGAATGCCCTCAATGTAAAAGATCCTCTTGTTGAACTTAGATAGTTTTGTCCTAGGAAGCTTAGAAACAGATACGGGATTTGGGTATGATACGATATGAATACAACGATACAGTGAAACCTGAAAATTAGAATACAGATAGCCCAAAGTTACGTTTAAAATGTATTTCATAGTTTTACTACTTTCTCACAACATGATAATTAGGTTTTGTAATAAATTCTTGAGCAATAATAAATAAAGTTAGTAACTTCTGCATTCAAAAAAGTGTTGATTTTCTCATTATAGTATATTCAAATGTGAACATGACTATTAAAGAAATTAGAACTACGCCTTAACTAGTTAGTTTGCTTATAACTTCTTATTGCCAATGAGATATAGTGTAATTAATACATTTTATTATCTTTTGACATGTGATAGAAGATAATGCTTGGCTAATAGGTTTGTCTAAAAGTGAATGTGATTAGTAGGTTTTGCTACATCCAGTCACACAATGCCCCATTGTAAATCACAGAAAAAAATATTTTCACAAAATAAAAGATAGTTTAATATCTCATTAACTCCGTTCATGAAGTTAATTTTGTCCCAAAGACACAGAACAAATCTAATTGACTGGTTAATTAAATCAAATGTATCTCCAAATTCTGATCAAATTTAATCAACTTGGCTAACTTAACTTTGTCCTGAAATTCATCTAATTGGTTTTGTTAATTAAGTCAAAGTCATCTCAAATTCTGATAAAATATAATCAATTCAATTAATTAAGCCAAAATTGTTCTCCAAATTCATATCAATTTTATAAGTACCGTAAGTTTTACCCAGATTCTATTTTAATTTGGCACCAATATATAACTCATTTCATAATTTATTCATTAATTATGCTGTTAATTTATTTGCTGCACTCCAGGCTGCACAAAGACAGAAAGAGATGAGCTATCACCACCAACGTCAACATTCCCTCCACTTCCCACATTAGTGTTAGATCAATGTGTGGCACCAAGTCATAAACTAGTCGACTCGCTTCACTCCCCTCCTTATTCTGACTCTTACTTCTACTAAGAATATTCTGTCCCAAAAAATTTCCCTTCCAAAGCCACTATTGTTGATAAATACTGTGCGCCTCTTTGATCACCCAAAAACCTGTCTCAGGATTTAAAATTCTAGGCACTCTCAAATTTTCTGCTATGTATCGTCTGAAACTTCAGAATTAGTCTTTGCCAGTAATGGTGATGAATAGAGTTGTTCGGGAGGAGGTGATGTGGAGAATAATGAAGGTCGGGCCTATAGAGGGGGTGGTGATGTAAGAGACACTTATGGTGGTTGTGATTGCAAGGATGGGGTGGGAGGTGAGAGGTATCAGGTGGCGTTATGGTTTAGTGAGTGTGCTAACATGTTCAAATGTCAGTGGGTCCTAGAAGAACAATATTTATATTTTGAAATATAAATTGCTTATGTCAACACACCCTTTATGGTTTCTTAATGGAGCACTAATGGTTGGTGGAATCTATTACGGACAACCAAAATAATCTTATATGTCACATGTGAAGCGGTCTAGTTGTTATTTGGACAAACCTTTGGGAGGTGGATGTAATTTACTCTTTTTTCTTTCCAAATGTGTCAAAATATAAATGGGGCATGATTATAATCTTGTATGGCTTGTTGCCATCTTTCAGCGTTGAGATGTATTCAGATCATGTTTGCTTAGCTTAATGTATTAGATATGCAGACTCTTGAATAGGGGAAGTTTGAAAAGTTTATGCATGCCATTTGTTCACGAATTATGCATGACTTTTTGTAGTTAAGTCCGTAACTTTTGTGACCTAATTTCATTCGTTTTGACATTTTGACGGATTCAAGCATTCAAACATCATGTTACCATTCAAATTTGAAGCCATTCTAATTAGACTTGATTATTTGCTTTTTAGTTTAACACGATTCTCTTTTTTTTGGATGAAGTGTGGGGCCTACTAGGTGTTTGTTTTCTTAATGCATATTTTTTCCCCTTTTTACTAATGATCCTTACTGAATTCAATTTTTAGTTGATAAATTTAATTATTGATTTTTTTTTTGATAGTAAGTGACGATATGTAATAAATGTGAAAATAAAGGATTGCAAGAGAGGACAATGAGTCCTTGATAGATACAACAAGGAGGAAAAAAGAAAAGAAATCCCAAACAAATTAAAAATTTAGAAAGATACAAGGTAAAGAAATGAGGTAGTCGTGTGGCATCACAATTCACACAGTTGAGTCAAATATTCTTTAATTAAAAATAAAAGAATTCTTTCATATTCCTTGAATGTAGATAGATGCCATGAAAGATATTTTATCCCAGATGTCTTCCAAAGGATCCTCCTTGTCCTCAATAATCAAGGGTGGAAAAGCAATTTAAGTAACAATAATTAATGTGTGACAATTATAATGATATAAATCCATTAAATAAAAATGACTAACCATCTGGCACTTCTGACTTTTTTCTTTTTTTTCCCTCTACCTTTCGTTTTCTTAATCTTTAGTTAATATATCAATGGTGCAAAAACAATTTAATAATCAATCTTTTATGCTTCTCAACCATTCCACTCTTGCAGGACTCTAGTAAAAATATCCTACTTAAAAGAAGAAGAAAAGAAGTAAGGATGATCTGGCATTATGCCTTGATTGTGGTTCCTTAGTAATTAACTTATTTTGGTGTTTTTGTGGCTGGTTTTCCATGATCACCAGTTGGAGTAAGAATTATACTCTTAACAGTTATTTTCTTTTGTTTAGATGTCGGCTTCATCATTCCCATCAATTGGATCTGGTGGTTCACATCCAGGGTCACAACTTTCTTCTCCAATCCAGCTTCAACAAAAACATCAAAATGCTTTGGATGAGAGGCATGAAACCTCTGTAACTTCTCCTAACTATGTGAAGCCGGTTTTACCACCTGCTGGGCGACCTTCTGCTGTTTCTCCAAGTGGTGCAGTTATCATTCAGAAGGCATGCATTCTATTTATTTTTCACTGGTTTTGCATTGGATATCATCCGCTGCACCATTACCATTTAAAGTGTTTTTTTGGTCATTACTTCTCCTTTTATCCTTGGTACATTGCAGTCTCAGAGTTTACCTAGTGGTCCAGCAGTGCCATCTTCCTCTCCTGGTTTTACTCGTGCATCCCGAGCAATTGCCTCAGCAAGTAATTTTCTGTTAATTTTTCCTGTGGATTGTATTGTAATACAGATATGTTAATAATAATACACAAATATTTTCCCCCCTAAAAACATCACTTCATCCATTTTTATCACATGTTTAATTATTTAAAATTTGATTAATTTGTAGTTTAACATAATTTTTATTTTATACATTATCCATATATGATGGTATACACATGTGGAGAAAATTTTGTCGATATTTAAAAAAAATAATGGGTAAAAGTACATTTTAAATGATGTAATCAAAAAAATGAAGGAAAAAAAAATTGTTATTTAATATAGTGGGATCATTTTTTTGGGTGTTCGAATTTTATGTTCCATTGTGATTGGCTGTCCTACAACCCATGCTTTCCATGCCATGTGCTTCCTCCAATACAAGAACTGGGGCTGCCCTATATTGTCAAGCCCGTTATCCAATTTTCTAGTGCAACCTAGCTCAATTCGCCTCATTGATTCCTTTAACTACCCTTTAGGCACGGTTTATGACTAGTATATGTATAGATTCTATAATTAATGTTGGTAGTTCTATATGTATGAAACTACTATTTCTTTTAGTTAATGGGTGGCTTCTCATAGCATGCTTAGATAACATCCACCTAATAATACAGGATTTGGAGCTGCTTTAAACATTGAAACACTCATTGCAGCTGCGGAGAGAAGAGAAAACCCCGTAGAGGTACATTTATCCAAACACATTTCTTACATAATGTTTGGGCATCTGATACTTGCATGTTAAAGATCTGTTTGGTTGTTAGTTGTTTGATAGTATTTTTGTGTCGTTGCTACAGGCTCCAGCATCAGAAATTCAGGACAAGTTATCATTTATTATTAATAACTTATCTGCTACAAATATTGAAGCTAAAGCAAAAGAATTTACTGAAATTCTAAAAGAGCAGTACTATCCTTGGTTTGCGCAGTATATGGTCATGAAAAGGTGAGAAGATAGACAAATCACTTAATGTTTTATCCATTTTATATACGGATGCACAAGCACAATGTGTGTGTGTGTGTGTGAAAGAGAGATCCGTTCAGATATAATACATTGATGTTGGACTGTCTCTTGTTAACTACTTGATCTAGCTGCTTTCTCTTTCTTTTTTCATCTTACGTTTGGGCCCACTGTTTCATGAATTACCTACCATCTAAAAAGAGCAAGCATCGAGTATAATTTCCATGACTTGTACGTGAACTTCATGGATAAAGTTAATTCAAAGCCTTTGAACAAAGAGATTCTCCAGGCCACTTATGAGAATTGCAAGGTTTATCCCCTCTTCACTAGTCATGTCTATAAATGTAGCGGCAATGGAAACTTACATTAACTATCAATGTACTCTTTCCTTTCCTTTCAGGTACTTTTAGGATCTGAGCTTACAAAGTCCAGTTCGGAAGAGCGTTCGTTGTTGAAGAATCTAGGTACCTGGCTCGGGAAAATTACAATTAGCAAGAATCAAGTTTTACGGGCGCAAGAGATTGATCCCAAATCTTTGATCATAGAGGTTTTTCTTTTGTCTATTCAGTACTTTGGGAGATGTGCTTACATATATTGTCCTATTTGTCACTTCAGAAATGGTAAACAAATTTCTTGGTCTATTAATATGAATCCCTTTGACAGGCATATGAAAAGGGTTTCATGATTGCTGTAATTCCATTTATCTCCAAGGTATATGCATTCTAATGATTGATTCATACTCTGTATGTGTGGTTTTCTATGGTATTTATACTGTCTCGCTGCAGGTATTGGAGTCATGCCATTGCAGTCTAGCATATCAACCTCCTAATCCTTGGACCATGGGTATTCTTGGATTACTTGTTGAGATTTATGTAATACCAAATTTGAAAATGTGCCTCAAGTATGAAATTGAGGTAAATGGATTTATCTGCATACTTGTAAGGAGTGTCTGAATTTTGGGAGTATTATGTGCATACTTCAAAGAGTGTCTCTGAATTTTGGGAGTATCTCTTCGATTAATTACTTTCTTGTTTGGCCATTCAGTTGCTTTTTAGGACTATTGGTGTGGATATGAAGGGCGTAACTCCGACTTGTCTTCTCAAGGACACGGTGAGGGTGGTTGAAGGAAATCCGGATTTCTGGCAGAAAGATGATGAATCATCTCAAACACAGATGGTTGGTGAAGTTAAATCTGGTATTATATCTGCACTGAATCAAGTTGAGCTACCAGTAGAAGGAGCTGGTCCATCTCATCCTGGGGGTCATTCGCGTGTATTATCTCAGGTTCATTTTCCTTTTATGATTTTAATTTGCTGCTAGCTGTTTATCTCATTTTTGCAATTTTGAAGTTGATTTATTTGGTGAGTTTAGTATGGAGCTCCTCTACATCTTTCTTCTGGAACATTAATGGAGGATGTGAAGCTGGCAGCATTAGGATTATCTGATCAGCTTCCTTCTGCTCAAGGATTTTTACAAGCACAATCACCATTTTCTGTTAGTCAGGTGAGTTCAGTTGTTTTCTCTTTTTGTTGGATAGATTTTTGCTTGACTACCATAGTAAGGCTCTGGTTGTGTTTGCAGCTTCCTGTACCAGCATCAAATATTGAACATCAAGTTGTCGTCAACCCAAAGCTCCATGCTTTAGGCCTGTACTTGCATTTTCAGAGGTTTGAAGCTGTTAAACTCCAAGTAAACTGCTCAATGTGTAGGAACGAGTACTACTTAGTTGTATTTGTTTGTTTCAGTGTGCTTCCAATCACAATCAATAGAGCTATTAAAGAGATAGTGTCTAGTATTGTGCAATGCAGTGTCTCTATAGCAACTCAAACAACAAAGGAGCTTGTTTGCAAGGTGTTTATTGTTTTGTTTCTTTTACTCATGATACATGATATTTTTTTTACAATTTTCATTTGATTGCTTTTGTAATTTGAAAAATGGAAGTATAGGACTACGCCATGGAGTCAGATGAGACCCGCATACGTAATGCAGCACACTTGATGGTTGCGAGTTTGGCTGGAAGTCTAGCTCATGTGACATGCAAGGTTTAATCTAGATCTGAATCTTCTTTGTGTTCGTTTACCTTTTTGATATATTCTACGGTCAATATTAGGTTTGTAATGCCTTGCTCTTTACTCGGTGTTTGATGGCGGTTCTGTTTTCACTGCTAGGAACCTCTGCGTGGTTCAATATCAAGTCAGCTCAGGAATTTGCTTCAGGGTTTGAATATTGCAACTGAACTCCTTGAACAAGCTGTTCAACTCGTTATTAATGACAACCTTGATCTGGGCTGTGCGCTAATTGAAAAAGCTGCAACAGAGAAGGTTCGCAAGCTAGATTCTTTATTGACGACGATTGTATTTGTATCTCTATGTATCGATGTACTGTTTTTGGTGCTTGATCTTTGTGACAAAGGTTGTTACTGTAATTCATTTCAAACTACATATATATCTTTTCATTAATTTATTGAACTGGCTCGGCTTATTTTCCTTGCAGCAGTCTAAGCTGACTTTTTCTGCCTTTTGTTTTTGGGAATTCTTGTGTGTGGTGCGTGTTGCTGAGGATAGGCAATTCAGACCATTGATGGGGAAATAACTCAACAACTTTCTATAAGAAGTAAGCACATGGAAGGTGTTGGCCCCACATTTTTCGATGGCAGCCCATATATTCAAGGTCACATGGGTATTTTACCGGATGCTCTCCGTACTAAACCTGGCTGCATATCCCAGTCTCAACAGAGGGTTTATGAGGTATGGCCCTCCTGACCTTCTTTCTAGTTTTTATGATCAATGGCAATTAGGATGATAGTCTGCAATTCTTTTCAATAATTTCCTTTTCTCCAGGATTTTGTCCGGTTACCATGGCAAAACCTATCAAATCAGAGCTCAAATGCTGTGCCCGTTGGTGCATCTTCTTCCACCACTGGTGGCTCATCCAGAGCATATGGTTCAGCATCTGGACAGCTAAATCCTGGCATCTGCTCATCTGGCCTTGGAAATGAAGGTTTGGGTGATGTTGCACAGCCCTTGGATCTTGTCTCTGAAGATTTGGAATCTACTAAAGCTCAGCTTCATAGGTGTGTTTTCATTATATTTAGTTCTTGATTTCATGAATTAGTTATTTCATTAAGAGAATAGTGTCTGATTGGTTGTTTTCACCTTTTTAGTGTTTCCGCTTCTCATTTTGGGATTGGTGATAGTGTTAGTCTGCACAATTTTGAATGTGATACGACTTCATTCCCTTTGGCGTCATCCACTGAATTGCCTTCAGTGGAACTATCTAATGTATTCAAAGTAAGTGAAATTTTGTGTGTCTGTCTTCATATACATTTTGATCCAGGTATATACTTATTCTTTTGATTCTATAATTTTTTATACTTCCGCTGAAAGGATGCTGGAGTTTCTGTGCAACCATTGCCTCCATCCTTGGCTTCTGAGTGCCTTGGAAGTAATATTTCAGAACCTTCGTTGACCACAGGCGATGCATTGGATAATTACCAGATTATTTCAGAGAAGGTTTCCATAAAGTTCTTCTTCCTTTACCTCTTCTCCTCCTACCCTACTTCTATTTGTTTTTTGAACTATTTTCTCCTCACTAGTCATTTGAGTTTCTTTCTGTCTCACACCTACAATTTTCCTGCTTTTGCTTCAAAGTTAATGGAGATCACCCGATATTTCCTTTTCTGAAAATTATTTCAGCTTAAAACTCTGCTGGCGAATGAAGCGAAAGAGGCTGAAATTCAGGTGTGATTTCTTTCCTTCTGTTGTTAGATAAGATGTTTATTCAATTTCAAATATGTTTTTGCTAATTCTGATTTCATATCTTTTGTGGTATAATTTTTTCCTTGAAATTGTTCTTGGTGTGAATTGTCACTCAGAATTTCCTTCTGATTTGTGTTACATGTCGCATAGTTATCTTTTTGTCCAGGGAGTTATTGCTGAAGTCCCTGAAATTATTCTCAGATGTTTAAGTCGAGACGAGGCTGCCCTGGCTGTGGCTCAAAAAGTTTGTTTTCTTCTGGGGATTGTTCTAAATCCAGATTGATTTGCTCTGTCTTTTGATTTGAGTTCTGACTCTGTCACAGGTTTTCAAGGGTTTATATGAAAATGGGACAAACGGTGCGCATGTTGGTGCACATCTTGCAATTCTGGCTGCAATTCGTGATGTTAGCAAGCTTGTTGTCAAGGAGCTGACTAGTTGGGTATGCTTTCGGTGACTTAATTCTTAATGTGGCCTAGGAGGCTAGGGTGGATTTTTCTGTTTAATAATGCTACGTATTCCTTTTCTTTTGTGGAAGTGAGACATGATATTGCTTTGAATTTTCAACTACTCTATGTAATGGCGTTGGCAATTCATCCAGCAATTATTCAACCCATCCCTCCAAAAATTTGGGATGCTAATTCGTTACTTAGCTGAGCTTTCTGTATCATTTTAATTATAGTGTCTGCGGCTAGAAATCTATGGGATCTTCTACTGAATTGTCCTAACATGTAATAGGAACCTCTTATATGTAAAATCAACTAGTATTATAGCCATGATTGTTTCTGATGGTGTCATGATGTTTTACTTTTTCTATGCTCCTCTTAAAATTTTCTTAATTTTTTTTGAGATTATTCAATCATTTCTAGATATGTTGCAAGTGATCTTGAAAATCTAAGAAATGAAATGAGAAATATGTGTGGTAGAGTTTCTGAGAAACACTTTTGGAATGAGTTAACTAGTATTACTCTTTTTTATTGGAAGTCTTCTATAGTAGCTTCTGTCTTTCTGAAAATAGAATTGATAATTTTCATTTTTTCAAACCTCACTATTAATTTTTTTTTGATTTTTTTACTTCAGTCAAATCAGCATGATGTTTTTCTTGCCAATTTTTAGTATCTTTGAGAATTCAGGATTGAAGTGGGGTTAAATATTTGTCAAGAGTTTTTAGTATTTAGTAAAGGAAGGATTCATTGACGGACATTCCCTTACAAGCTCAGCTCAACTGGATAGGTCTTCTTTGGGACTTAAAACATTAGAACTGGGGAAAAGGCCATATCTTGATTGTCTTTTAAAGTCATTCTTTTCGGCAGATTATCGAACCAATTTGTCTGAAACAACCCCCCCCCCCCCCAAACCAAAAAAAAAACCCAAAAAGAAAAATAACTTGTTTGAACCAATTTTCTTAAAAAAGTGCTAATCATTATCTAGATGATGGGAGTGCATCCCAGTGTAAAACAACCTCTGTGTTCTCTTGTTCTATCATTGGAAAATCAGATATATGATTAGCTTCTCAAAGGAATAGGAGAGTCCCAAGATGATCTACTTTTCTTTTTAATAGGTCTTTATATGGTTTGATCTCTTTACCATATTAAGCAAAGCTGCTATTGCGCGCAGACCTATCTCCTCTTCTTGTTCGTTTTGGTCACTCCGCTGGATTGCATTAGTCACTTAATTGGAAGGTTAAACCAGGGTCATATGCATCCATGACTTTCTTAAATGGACCTTTTTTTTTTTTGAACTTTTATGCACAATGTAAACAATATCAGTTTATCATACGTTCTCCATCCTTACCTATCTGTATTGGTCAATGGGGATGGAATCTTTGATGGTGGTGATATAACAGTCTCTTGTAGAGATGGATTGTCAGGTATTTAGATTTTGGATATGATACTTTTTTGCGTGGCACCTATCCACATTGCTTGCTCTCTCACAAAAAAAATGTAGCAAAAAGGGCTGTGGCTTTTGGTAGGTTGCCCTATGTGAAACAAGCTTTCAGATATATGCCATAATCATTCGATTAGCAGGTCAAACCAGGACCATGTGTACAGCTGGTGTCTGAAGTTCTGTTGTACTTATCAAACTTGAGGCGAAAATATTATAAAGTATCTTTTGAATATTGCTCATGAGGACATGATGTCTTGTTAAGAGGAGGGGATTGGTAAGTTATATTGTGAAGATTGAAAAGGACATACGGTTTCATTTCTCATTTCCATCCACTTTGATCTGATCTTGCTACTTCTGGGCCTTTATGGCTTAATTCAAACCATTGGAAACCCTCTTAAATCAGCAATAACTTCCATTCTTTAGTTAGTAGATGTCCATGACGAGAAGTTTGCACTGATTCAAACAATGCTTAAAAGACGGTTGGGAGGAGGGACCATTGTATCCATAATGTCTCAAGTGAAAGAATTCTGTTCTAGTTTTGAAAGGAGGCATAATTTATAGCCTGTAAGTTCCCCTTAGTTCTCCTAGCATTATGGCATTATCTTTTAGATATAAATTTTGGTTAGAATTTTTGGATTAACGTGTCACTAATGGGTTTTTCTATTGGACATTGCCAAAGCGTATGTCCATACATGTGTACAAAAGAAAATGTTGTTGGCTGTGATTAATGTATTTTAAATATCCTCTTTGTACAGCATTTTGAAATGATGCCATTTTAGGAAAGTTCATTTACTATCATTGGACTTTTGTGTCTTCGATGAAAGGTAAATCTTCATCAGGTTCTAGATAGAAATGTTAGTAGTTTAGATTTGTTTGGATTGTTGAGATATGACCTTTTTTGAATTAAGATGTTGCGGTGCTCAGCGTAACAAATCAGCTTGTAATATGTTGCAATCTCTTTTAACAGGTGATTTACTCTGATGAAGGTCAGAAGTTTGACAAAGATATCACTGTTGGCCTTATTCGCAGTGAATTGCTGAACCTTGCGGAGTATAATGTTCACATGACAAAGCTTCTTGATGCGGGAAGGAATAGTATGTACGATCAGCACCTGATTTTAGAAAGTAACAGTAGAAGAATTGGCTCAACTAACTGGTTGCAAATATTGTGCAGAAGCGGCTACTGAATTTTCCATATCCCTCATACAATCCTTGGTGATTAACGATTCTAGGGCCATATTGGAGCTTCACAATCTTGTTGATGCACTGGCAAAGGTTTATTCTAATTCATATTGTGTGAGAAAGTGCACTTACTCTTACCACTCTGGTCTCTGAATGATTTTTGACATGCAGCTTGCAGCAAGACCTGGTTCTCCTGAGTCATTACAACAGCTGGTTGAGATTGCCAGGAACCCTACTGCTGGTGCCACTGCTCTGTCTAGCATAACTGTTGGCAAGAAGGATACTAATGCTCAATCTAGAAACGAGAAGGTTAGCAGAATTGCCACTATTCTATCCTTGATTAGGTGCCTTAGTGAGTTCTGTGGATCCTAACAATTCAATCTCTGCTGGAATAGGCAACTGGGCAGTCTCTACCAAGCCGTGAAGACTACAATGTTGCAGATTCGTTTGAACCAGATCCTGCTGGTTTTTGTGAGCAGGTTCCACTTAAACCTTATTCTTCTTGATACCATTCATGATTCTAAAGCTGTAGTCCGAATTTGTTTCGTATTGGTACTTATTAGGGAACTTGAGACTGGACAAGAACAGTGTTGTGTAGCTGACACTAGCTTTAAATTTAATTTGGTGCTGCTCACTGGCACTACCTCGAAAGTTAAGTTGGTTCTACTTGTTCTCTGGTTTACACTTGACACCATGTGTGTGTTATATGTGCTTGGCAGTGTCAACTGAAGCAAACCACGAAGGTTTTAGGTAATGCTTTTGGCCGGCTCTGAAGTCCAGTGTCCTTATGCCTGATGTCTTCTTAAAGCAATTTGGTTGGCAGTGATGTGTCCAAACTTGCCAATGTGGATCCCATTTTTAGGACTTCCACTTACGTTCCATTATAGGAGAAACTACTAACTATGAAGTCCTCTCTGTTTACATATACAGGACCAGTTGTAGATAATTAATTTTGCCATAAAGAAGTGATTAATATAGAGATGATAGTATGACTTGGACCGAGAATAGGAAGCGCTAATGTGTTGTTGCTAAGTTACAACTCATGCTTCCACTCTCGCTGCCCCCTTTTATTTCTCTATCTTTTGGCTGCAATGAATGAATATCAAGTGACTGACAACTTGTTTTGAACTTGAAAAAAAAAAAACTCCTAGTTTGGTGACCTAAAAGGTAGGACCTTTTCCCTTTCATCATTTCCAGAAAGGTTTATCTCAAAGAATGATCTTTTCTGTATGAAGACTTTGTTGGAGAAAGTTTGTGGGCTTTTGGATTGACATGAAGAATTGCTTGGTATTGAAGGTGATCTATGTTGAATGGCAGAAGAGTTTGTGGAATTGTGATACCCCAACTAGATAAATATTGGGTCCTAAAATGAAGGCTGAAAGGATACTGAAAAGGATGTAAGAGATCTGGAGTTTTGGGATGCAGAACTGACGAAACCAATGTTGGTTTTGAAGAGGTATCAAAACCTATTTATGGAAATTAAACAATGAGTGGAAGAGAAAGTACTAGACTAAACTCGAAGTGGAACAATTGTTAA